TGCACCACGCATCTTACAGGATTTTAGTTCCCCAACCAGGAATTGAACCCAGGCCACCACAGTGAAATCCCCAAGTCCTAACCACTGGATTGCCAGGGAATTCCCAGAGAAGTTTAAAATTTTTATTTTTTATTTTTTAAATTTATTTATTTATTTAACTTTACAATATTGTATTGGTTTTGCCATACATTGACTTGAATCCGCCATGGGTGTACATGTGTTCCCCATCCTGAATCCCCCTCCCCATCCCATCCCTCTGGGACATCCCAGTGCACCAGCCCCGAGCATCCTGTATCCTGCATCGAACCTAGACTGGCAATTCATTTCACATATGATAATTTACATGTTTCAATGCCATTCTCCCAGTAAAATTTTTTCACTTGTTCCAGTGATCTTTTTTCTTTTTCTTTTTTTCTCTTTGAGTAAACTTGGGTAGTTTGTGTCTTTTAAGGAATTCATTTTATCTAAATGGTAGAATTTTTTGGCATAAAGTTGTTCTTGAATATCCCCTTATTATCCTTTTAACTCCTGTATAATCTGCAGGGAGATACGCCTTCTGCTATTTCTAATGTTAGTCATTTGTATCATCTTTTCAAAGAATCAGTTTTTGTTTTCATTGATTTTCTACTGGTTTTTTGTTTCTGTTTCAGTGATTTCTGCTCTGATCTTCATTATTTCTTTTCTTCTGATTGCTTGGGGTTTAATATGCTATTCTTTTGATTCCTCAAGAAGGGAATTTGAGATCACTGACCTGAGATCTTTCTTGAATTTTCTAATATATATTTAATGGTATAAATTTCCCTCTAATTGCTGCTTTAAACTATGTTACACACATTATGATATGTTGTATTTTCAGTTCAAAATACCTTTTAATTCTCTTTTGATTTAATCTTTGACCTATGATATATTTAGAAGTGTATTATTTAGTTTTAAAATATTTAGGGAATTTCCCCCTATTTCTTTTTTCTTTTGGCCATACCTCGTAGCATGGGGGAGATCTTAGTTCCCCGAGCAAGGATCAAACCCTCATCCCTTGTGTCGGAAGGGTAGAGTCTTTTTATATAAATATATGTAATTTTATTTGTTTATTTTTGGCTCTGCTGGGTCTTCACTGCTATGCAGGGGAAGCATGGAGTCTTAATCACTGGACTGCCAGAGAAGTCTCCCACATGTCTTTCTGTTTTTTATTTTTACTATGTTTTTTATGTCTACTGTAGTGCTAGAAACAAAAATCTTACCTTTGTTTTCTACATATTTGTTTCATTTTCTGGCACAGGCAGTCAAGAAATGGTTGGTACTAGCAGTTTATAAAAAATGAATGGGAATAGAAATTGAAAAAAATGAATCTAGCAATATAGAAGACTTCCACTATTCTATTTTAGAGGTGGAATATCTCTTAGCATCTGCCATAGCAGTAGTGTTCTTTGGCACTGTACTTAGAGAGCACCTATGAACTTAGTCATATTGATCTTATGTCTAATTCATAGGAATCCTGGATCCCAGAAAGTGATATATTTGGGGAACTAAAGGGAAATGAACTTAATCATGTACATTTTAAAGCAAACAAAAATGATCTCATATGGCATTATCCAAGTTTTTTTTGCAGAAATAAGTTTATGGTTCACAGTGTCTTTTAAAGAAGACTGTCACTGCGTATCACTTTTTTTTCTTGATTCCTCATGGTCTTCTCATTGAGAAGGGACTGGACTTTAACTCTTTTACTTGTCTTTCGAATAAGTTTCCTCCAGGGCTTAATCCCTCTTTTCTGCATGGTTTGTTCACCCTCTTAGGGTAGTCTTCACATCATTAATACAGTTACTAGCCATAGATTTAATCATTCTTACACATGGGATCACAAAGAGTTGGAAGTGACTGAGCACACACATTTCCCTCCATTAAAAAAAAATTAATTTTATTTATTTATTTGTGTTTGGTTGCACTTGGTCTTCGTTGCTGCACATGGGCTTTCTCTGGTTGCTGAGAGCCAGGACCACTCTCTAGTTGTGGTGCACAGGCTTCTCACTGTGGTGGTTTCCTTGTGGAGCACAGGCTCGAGGTGCTCTGGCTTCAGCAGTTGCAGCTTGCAGGCCTCAGTGGTTGTAGCATGTGGGCCCAGTTGCTCTGCAGCATGTGGAATCCTCCCAGACCAGGGATCGAACCCATGTCCCGTGCATTGGCAGGCGGTCTGTCATCCACTGTACCACCAGGGAAGTCCATTTCCCTCTATTTTTAATCTCATTCCTGGACTGCAGACCAGTAAGTCTAAGCTGATGTCTCACCAGCACCCAGGATCAGTCTGAACTCACCTCTTTTCACCCATAGTCTGTTGTGAGTTCGCCTTTTTCACCAGCGTCTCTGCCTTCCGTGTATCTCCACTCTTTCTTCTACTTCTTCCTCTTGCTCTCCCTTTATACAGTCCAACCGACTGTGGCAAGTGTGATCTTTCTAATACACAGAATCAACTGGCTTCATTTTTGTCCTGCTGCCCCTCTGGCTCTTAATGTTCTCACAGGACCATGTACTGCTTCCCTGAATGTAACATGCTTACTCATGCCTTGGCATATGCTATTGTTTCCTTCTGCTTGAAATGCCTTTCTCTTTTTTGCCGATCTGAGAAAGCCATCCGTGGTTCAGGCATCATCCCCTTTGTGAGGCCTCCCTGACTCATAGTCAGCCTCCTCCCTGTATTCATGTCCTCTGTATACACCTCCACTGTACTACATGGCTCTTCTCAATATACCATGGTCTGCACATCTGTCTCCCCTGTGAACCGAGCTCCTCAGAAGCATGAGCTGTGCCTCTCTTTACATCTCAGCTTAATATCTGGCACTTGTTAGGTACTTCATAAATATTTGATGAAAGAACAAACATACTCAGAATGCATGTTTATTACGAAAGTGTTTCTGTCTAATGAAGAATAAGCGGATTAAAACAACAGTGGAAACTTCCCTCTCCTCTCCTTTCTGCCTCCTCAGAAGGTTCACTTTGGTAGAAGAGTAGATGACTCAATTCTTTACCACCAGCACCCATTTTATAGCGGCCAGCATCCACATTGGTCCTGGCATGATCGACAACCTGATGAACCCAGCCACGACTAAGATAAACTACTTGTCCTCAAGTAGAATAAATATTTCAAATAAAGCCAACCCAGGAAAGTCAGGCCAAACAGCTATTGATTGCTAAAAGCCTGAACTTGAGCCCAATGAATATTCCAAAGTTCACCTCCATGCAGCTTGCCTAAATGGTGATCAATATGCAATTACTGCCCCCTTTAATCGAGTCTTACACTGCCTACCTGGAGAAGGGTTTTACTTTTAAAATCTTTTGTTTGTTGAATTTGCTTAGGCAGGGAAAAAAGAGAGAGAGACTTGGCTAAACCCCAGCATCCTTTACCTTTAGCATTTTGAACAATTCTGTTACATGTGAAATGGTTTGAATGTATGCGGAATGGTAACTGGAAGGTGCCCTGTTACATGACTGTCATTCATTTCAAGAGGACTTTTTCTGAGTGGCTAAACAGTAAGAATATTGTATTTCAGTTTCCTAATTTCTTCTCACATGGTTACATTGCCCTAGTCACAACCTTTGTAAATTTAAGTTTGTAGAGTGGGATGCTGAAGTCCAGCTACAGTGGAAACAAATATATTATTTGTCCAGTTTCCTTTCAGAATTTTATCTTGATGCAGAAAAACCCCTACCTGCTGAATTTAGAAATTTATTTACCCTACTCCTGATATTTAAGATTTCATATCTCACAAATATGCCTTTTTGATACCACTGCCATAATCAGAACTCTGTTGTTTTCACTTCCACTCTTGTCATATTCTCTTAAAGGTGCCTCCTGACCCCAAGCTCTGTCCCTCCAGGCCCTTCATCACACTACTTCCAGATTAAGCTTTCAAAAATCTATTTATGTAGCGCCCTCCTTTTCTTAAACATTTCATGGCGTCTCAGCATCAGTGACATGGAGCCCAGGTTCCTTGGGCAGCACAGCCAGGGCCTGTCGTGACCTGTTCCTGCCCACTTCCCCTCAGTCGTCTCCCCCACTGCCCCCCCGCCCTCCCCCGCTGCCCCAATCGTTCAGAGCTACTTCCAGTCCCTCCAAGTGACACGCTTTTACAGACCTCCTATACCTTTGCATATGCTGCTTACTGCCACCAGTGACATGGCTTTCTCTTCTCTGCCTGGCAAATAATCATACTTCAGACTTAGTTCAGATGTCACAATTGGATACCCACATGCAAATAGATGCAGTTGGATCCTGAACTAATACTACATACATAGATTAATTCAAAAACAAAGATCTAAATGTAAATACTAAAGCTAGTACACTCTTAGAAGAAAACATAGGTTTAACTCTTCATGACACTGGATTTGGCAATGATGACAGTGTTCTATAATTGCCTAAGGTGATGGTGGCACATTTCTGAATATTCTAAGATCTATTGAATTGTACATTTTAAATGGGTGAATTGTATGGTGTGTCAACTATATCTTGATAAAGCTGTTAAAGAGAAAGAAAAAGGAAGAATAGGTGATCCATAATCCTACCACCTTGAAATTACCTGTTAGTATTTTGATCTGTTTCTTTCCAGTGTCTTCTAGTGCATATTTTTTACATGAGGTAATGCTTCATATGGAATTTTGAATATTATTTTTCATGCTTACCATTCTGATAAAAAGAACTTGTTCATTCTAACACCTACTCTCCTGATTGTTAACAAGTGTGTAATATTCCATGTAGATATACTATAATAATGTTTTGACTGGTGGACCTTTAAACTGTTTTTTGCTTTTATTTGTCTTTTTTCCATTGTAATGAATTTTGCAGTAAATACACTTTTCTTTTTCCATTTATTTTTATTAGTTGGAGGCTAATTACTTTACATCATTGCAGTGGTTTTTGTCATACATTGAAATGAATTAGCCATGGATTTACATGTATTAAAGACTAGGCCATGCTCATGAAATGCCTTATGTAAAACCTCTTTTGTTCCCAGAGAAAAGAAGATCTCCCGGAGCAGTGCCCTGAAAGTGCTGGACCATGCCATGATTGGACCCGAGGGCACAGACAACTGCCACAAGTTTGTTGACATTCTTGGCTTACGAACCATCTTTCCCCTTTTCATGAAGTCTCCCAGGAAGATCAAGAAAGTGGGGACCACTGAGAAAGAACATGAAGGTAGGGCTCACTGGAGAAGTCAGCCTCCTTTAAAGGTGTCGGGAGAAATGAGGGAGATGAGAGCTGCTTTGACAAACTGCTATGCAACTGAGGATTCGGCTCTTAGGTGGAAGGGTGCTCCCTTTTCCTTTTTTATCTGCTTATTTTCTGTGCATGGAAAAGCAACCTAGTGACCCCTGGTCACGGGTGGGCTTTGTCACACTGCTTCTGGTGGTTCCGTTCCCTGCTGGCCTGTTAATAAGCCTGTGCGTGAAGGTTTTGTTTTCTTCACTATAATTTGTAGCGAGTTGTCTCTCTGATGGAAGACCCTTTTGAAAAGAGTAATGAGGTGGCAACACATGTCACCTCCGGAGTAGCGCTTTCATGTATTTCTGTATTAAAGTATGATTCAGCCAACATCAGGAATTGCCGAAATAAACTATTTACAGCCCAGGTGCCCCTTTTTATGTTTCTCCTCCCTGATGGTGTGCTCTCCCAGCAAAATGCCATGAATCGTGGTGCTGTAAGCAGAGTAGTTACTGCTAGACCAGTCCCGCCCTGCTATTGTCTAGTGGCCTGCTGCTTCCCTCTCCCAATAAATGACGGCAGTGCAATCTGGAAGGCCCCGGATTTATGAGCATTGACAGTTCTGCTGGAGGCCAACAGACACTTGCAGAGGGAATTTACATGGTTGGGTGGTTATTTTAAAGTATGGAGAAAGGGCTACAGGGTGGATGAGGTGGTGGTGTGTGTAAAAGAGGAGGACCTGGGCTGGCTGGCTGGCTAATTTGGTCATCTTATCAGAAGTTAACATCTCCCATGATTTGATTTTTTTTTCCATCAGTGATTAGTAGAACAGCATAGATGTCTGCAGAATCTTTTTTATTCCTTACCCTCTTAGATAAAAGTGTGAGAGTTCCTCTCTGTCTCTTTTCATCTTGACTTGACTTACTCTCTACCAACTTGAAATGGCTAAAAGGAAGTTGTTGTGGCATGTCTTCAGTGGTCAGCACCAGGGATACCTTCTTTGATGAAATCCTCTCTCCAGACTCAGCAAAAAGTCTGGCAGGGAAGAACTGCGGACTGGAGGTCTGACACACATAGAAAGTTCAGGTCACCTCAAATCAGGTACTGACTGAAGCCCCAGCTGTTGAAACACCAGCTGTGAGCCTGTTAACCCCATTGCTGGTCTTTTTTGTTCCTCAGTGGAAATTTATTCATGGGAGAGAGAATGGTCTTGAAGATCTTGGAGATAAAATTTAGGAGACTGTCACCATTCAGCCTGAAAACCTGCCACATCCTAGCACAGCTACATTATGTGCTACCTTGTTTGGGCCTTGTGAGTGTGTGCTCAGTCACTTCCTTTGTGTCTGGCTCCTTGTGACCCTATGGACTATAGCCCAACAGGCTTCTCTGTACATGGGATTCTCCAGGCAAGAACTACTGGAGTGAGTTGTCATCCCCTCCTCCAGGGGATCTTCCCAACCCAGGGATCAAACCCATGTCTCTCACATCTCCTGCATCGGCAGGTGGGTTCTTTACCACTAGTTCCACCTGGGAAGCCCCATTTGGACCTCACAACTCATGAAATAGATGGTGGTATCCTTGTTCTTTAGATGAGGAGATCAGCTGAGGAAGGAACCAAGCTGTGATTCTACAGCTAAGTAGCCGTGTGACTTTAGACACTTTACTTAACTTCTCTGGACTGCATTTTCCTTCCTGTTCTGTAAGATGTGGAAACTAGGCTAGTGAAATAGAAGCTCTGATATCGGTAAGATCCCGAGGCACAGGCCCTGGTTGTCAAGGCTCTGTCCTGTAATCCAGGCAACTCCTCAAGGACTGTGTGTGGCTGACCTGCTGGGTTGAACAGAGAGGCTTGGTGCTTGCTGCACCTTGAGCACGCTTGAAGAAAATGAAGGAAAACAAGCCCTTCACAGGCTCTTGCGTTGTGTACGTGGCACTGAGAAGACAAGTGACAGATTCAGTGAGCAGCTGTTTTCCTTCTGAAAAATGTGCCCGGTGGCGTGCTGGTAACAGTACATTTGCTTTAGAGTACCCACATTAGGAATTTGATAACATTGTATTAGTGAGGGCAATGGCTTGGGAAGACAGCTCCTGGAAGGCATATTTGGACTATAATGGGCTGGGGAGGATGAGCTCTGCATCCTGAATACACCGGCACCCAAAGAGCAGTGGACCCCAAGGAGGAAGCACAGGCCCGGCCCTTCTCCCACCCCGCCTAGCTGCCTCTGCTCCTGGCCGTGGGCGGTAGGGTGAGAATGCAGGCAGGGCAAAGCAGGAGTGCCTTGTGCAAGGTTTCTTTGTCCTATCTTCTGGGTCACTCTGCACATGCTCACCCTTCTGAAGCAAGTGGACCAGGTGTGTGTGGTAAGCTGGAGCACAGCAGCCTCCAGCATCAGGAGTGTTTGCGAACATGCCCAGCCCCAGGTTTCTACCATGCTCTTGCCTCCGTCTTCACAATTTTTTCCGGCCTGTGCACTTGGCTGCCTTTCAGTCATCCTTCAAGTCCTCAGTTTTGATGTCACTTGCTCAGGGAAACATAACATGAGCCCCAGGGCTAGAAACAGAACCTCTTCGGAAGTGAACTCTTGGGCCCTGGACTTTGACTTCATAGCCCTGAAGATTATGGAACTGATAACATTGTCATCTCTGGATCCCAGGGCCTAGCCCTGTGCTTGGCATGTGGTGGATGCACAGTGTATGTTTATGGACTGCGTGAATGGATAATTGCTTCCCTAAAAGACTGCTCATTAAAGACAAACATGGATTTGGGGCTCTCTAGAACCTTGCAGGGTTGAGTCAGTACAGTTGACGGTTGTTGATCATGCCCTGGGGCGAGTGGTTTTTCTCCCAGCTTGTTTAGAAGCAAAACCAAGAGGGTTCCTAGCCTTAAGTTTTTCTTTGTCTCATGTGCTTAGAAATTATGGCAGAACTCCTCTCCTCTCCTTTAGAGCTGTGCCTTTCAGAGCCCTGTCATGGACAGAACTTCCTTAGAGATGAGGCCACCCTATGACAAACTCCTTTTGGTAATCTAGCAACTCCTAATAAAGCACTGTGGGCTGGGAGTCAGCTTGCCTGTCCAGAACCTCTGGACGGCTGTCCTGTAAGCTTCCCTTTCTTGTCAGATTCAGGATTAAGTTCATCCTGGTCCAGTCTCAGGCCCTGTCACTTCTCAAAACTTTCCCAAACTCATATGATAGCAACATAGCCTGGTGTGGTACAGAAGGATCCACTGCTTATCCACGGGGTTAATTTTTAAACTCTCTGAGCCTTGTTGTTGTTAAGTTGTGTTCGACTCTTTTGCGACCCCATGGACTGCAGCACTCCAGGTTTCCCTGTCCTTCACTATTTCCCCGAGTTTACTCAAATTCAAGTCTATTGAGTCAGTGATGCTATCTTATCATCTCATCCTCTGCTGCCCTCTTCTCCTTTTGCCTTCAGTCTTTCCCAGCATCAGGGTTTTTCCCAGCCAATTCTTGCCCCTTTTTTAAAATGCTAGGTCTACCACCGAGGGCGGTTGTGAGAGTCAGGTGAAGTGACAAATACAAACTTAGCGTAGGCTCTAGAATATGGTCAGTTCTCCACTAAATCTGTCTCCAGTTCTGCCCGCCCTGGCCTTAGTCACACACACTCATTCTTCTAGGTCACTGGGAAGCCAGGCAAAGAGACTGCCCACACCCAGGTTGGGAGAGTGTGGGTTTCATTGGCCTGCAGTCTAATTGCCACGTGATAGCCTCTAGAGAATGGGCAGACTCATCCTTGCCGGGAGCGTCAGGAGCCATGACTTGCTAAGTAGAGGAGTGACATAGAAACAACCATGTTTCATATTCCCCAGGCCACAGGAGGGCTTGAGAGAGGACAGTCTCTAGATTAAGCTGACTCTAGAGAGAGAAGGGAAGAAGCAGAGACCACCCTTATAACCTAAAATTGCTGGGAATGTAGTTCTTCTTTTGTGAGTTGGGATGAAGAGGGAAAAGAATTATTGTAATTGAAATCCATTCAGGTTCACATAATAAACCGAAATAGATCAGGGGAGGCACTTAGCTTGGGGGATGGGTTGGGAAGAAAAAATTTGCCCTTGGGTATAATAGCATGATTGGCTGCCGCCTTGGTTTTATAGAGAATAGCACAGTATATGTTGTCTCTTTGGAATTAACTGCTTCAGAATATGAGGGAAGAAGAAAAGAGCTGGGATCCAGAAATGGCATTTGACCTTTACTTCTTGTCTCTTTTAAAAATTCTTATTAAAATAGGTCCAATTTTCCATGTATTGCTTCATTAGGTAGGTGAATTATTGAGTTTATAGCAGTTCTAGTTAATTGCGCTGTTTTAACATGGTTCCCCTGGAGGCTATTAGAAGCTTTAAGGGGGTGAGCAGTGTGTAGGTGTGCTGTGTGCATGGTAGGCATATGTGCACATTTTAGCTCATCAACAATGACAGCAGTTGAGAACAGGTCACTGCTTTAAAGAATATTTTTCTGTCATCTGCAAAGAATTGTAAGTGATTCTGGGGGACTCCTCAAGTCGGGAGGTGTGCAGTTGCCTGGTACTTACAGGCTCCTGACAGTGAGGATCTGCAGACCAGAGCTCTCACCACCTACCAGGGTTAGAAGAGGGAAATAGCAAAAGCTTTCCTGCAGTCAGTAAAGAAGGGAGTTTAGCCAGCACAGGCAAAAAAATATTTGTATCATGTCTGTTGTGGGCTATGGTAATGGCATGGCATTGTTTAGGGCCAACTTTTCATTTTATAGGGCCTCATACTATATCCAAAATTTAACAGGCCTGTTATGTGACAGGATAATAGGGTTTCCCAGGGTTCCATCTCTAGAACCTTTGCATCAGCCTGTCGCTCAAGCATTCATTTTCACATGCATTGGTGGTGTAGTCCCCCAGTTCTTTTTCTTTTTTTTTTAGTTCCTCACGCTCTCCTTGATCTCATCTACTACCTGCAGCTTTAACCTATCTGTTTGCCACTGATTCCCAAGTCTTCAGCCTTGTCT